GCCCATCATGATGAATTCATCACAAATTAACAATGATAGTTTCCAGGGGGAACCACGTGGAGGTCAACCTGATATTGCTAGTTAATGGGACTATTAGACCCTATTACTAACAATCCCTTACCCCCATGTTTTGATATTAGTACGGTTGTCATTGTAATCATTGTTATTTGTACTATGAACTTGCATTGAATTTGTATTGTATTGATTATTACAACTGTATTGTATTGAAATTAAATTAAATTAAATTAAAATGAAAAAAAAAATCATATTGTCAACATTTATCATCACATAGGAATATTTATCTTCAATGGATAAACAATAATAAAAGAATGCCGTCGCCGTGTGGTCCCGGCATAGAATAGGCCACCTCTTCCTTTCCCGTGGGTGTCGTACGAGGCTATTAAGAAAATTAATGGTCGAGGAATAGGCAGCAGCGTCTCTATTAAAACATCACCAAAGGCAAATTGCGTTTGCCTACTCTGCCAAATGTGGCAATCACTGGCAAAATTCTTATATAGGGGAGACCTATGTCCAGCAGTGGACAGTTAACAGTTGATATAATAATGATGAATAAAAGAACTTTGAAGGCATTCTTTTATTATTATTATTTTATTATATATTTATTATTACTTTTATCCCGGTTTCTTTCTACAAAACTAAGTTGTTTTAATAAATTAATAATTTATTTGCATAACGTAGATACAATTAAAATATGGCTGTGTTTTGTATTGTTTTACTATCATTAATATTAAATAAAATGAAAATAATTAAAAATTGCTTACATTAATGAGTAATTAAAAAAATATATAATAAGAGTTTGTTAAATTGAATGGAGTAGAAATCAGTAGATATTTCAAGAAGTCGCCACTTGAAAAATGAGATGAGAATTATAATTTTCAGCAAAGGTGAGACTTTATACAATATCTACTTAGACCCCTATTTTTTCTTTTTTCACGTATTTGTTTCTTTCCTCTCTCCTTCATTAATCAGATGTTTGGCTAATAAATTAGGTTGCATGGCTATGGTTTAATGGTATGAAGCAGTGAAACTTTATAGATACTTTATAGAGACATGAGCATGTAATCCCAAGAAACTACAACATGGGGTTTTTCAAAAGGGGGGGTAAAGAGATTTCTTCAAGGTCGGCAACGCGCGCATACCGCTGATATTGCAGGCGTTCATAGGCTACGGTAACTGCTCACCATCAGGTTGGCCGTATGCTTGTTTGCCACCTCAATGGTATAAAATGTAACCTTAGTTCGCATAGCAACATTTAAAAGATACTATAGTCGCAATGCATTCTGTAAAGTCTATAAAATTCATTATTTAGTCTATACAACAATGATAAAAAATAAAGGATAGTGTTACAAACTCCTTTGTAATTTGTATTTCAAATATTGTATTCTTTTAATTAGGTACTCATTTTTTTATAAACTGTCAGTATAACTTTTCAACACGAACCGGCGTTTTCTTTCTTACAATCAGTTCACAATAGATAGAATGTTCATTTCATAGACTTAGTATACCGATTACTACGTACTACGACATTTTATAATCTAAGGTTTATTTATATTTTTTTCTTTTTTCTTTTTAAAGTTTTTTTTTTTTTTGTCATTAGTATGCATGTGACTGCCGACAATCGAAAATCAACTATAGATATGAATTTCCGCAAAATAACACCTGATTCAGTAAAATAATAACTTTTTATCAATAAGAGGTTTTTTTTATGGATGAAAATGAAATTGTAACCTTGCCTGCGCTTTTGGTATACACTGGCGGGACACTAGTGAGGGATGAAGTCTTAGTCAGGGCTGACTGTCAGAACCGAATTATACATTAGACGGCGTAGATAACTACTCAGGAACCTCCATCGGTCAGGGGTGGCCACTGAAAAGAGGTTGTTTTTCTATTTTACTATCCAATACGAGTAGTGCCTTAACGGCTTAATCAATCACTATGAAGTTTTTTTTTTATGGGTGACTATGAAATGGTAACCCCGCCTGCGCTATCGGGATGGATGACAAGTGAGGATGAAAAGGCAGGTTAGTTAGCCTATCGTTACGAATTCCACTAAAATTAATCACGACGGTTTCCAGGGCGAACCGCGTGGATGTCGACCTGATAGGGTGTATTGCTAGCAATGGATCAATTAGACCCCATTACTAACAATTCCTTACCCCCCATCACTATGAAGTTTGGTATACACCTAATATATGGGATGAATAAGGACAAAAGTTATTTTTTATACCAGACAGTAAACATATTCTAATCACGCGGACAAAGTTGCAGGTAACAACTAGTATTCAATACAATTAAGTAATGTATTTAGTATATACGTAAACAAATGTAGAGTTTCGTCAATAAATAATATTAAATTCATTTGTAAGCGAAGAGCTTACGTCGAAATTTAATTTTACTTGTTCCTTCTTAATTTATTATTAGTTTCTATTATCAGTAAAATATGAAAGTAAATAATGCAATCTTACGTTTTACAAACAACTTGCAAATCGCCTCACGCTGTCCACACATTAGATTTCAAAATACTCAATACTTAAAACTATAAACCACTTATTCCAATCACAATTGTCACCACATAATTAAAATATACAATATCTTAATTTAGACGACAACAAAATTAGCTCAATAATGAAACATAAAAATTCCAATTTCAAAAATTGGCGCGATAACAATAAATATGGCGCGCGTCTCACGTCACACGACGAAGCAAAGGCACGCGGTCACACTGCCAGCAGCGTTCGCACTCCTGCGCTCTTGTGGGTCACCGCCCACAGCCTGCAATGAGATCATAAAGCTGTTTCGAATATAATTTACACTTTACCCAGTGCAACTATCTTGTACAGCCTCCCTCGCATGTCACAATATGTTAAATAGAAATGATACTTACTCTGCGCCATATAAGGGTGTTGTTGACCGTTAGTTCAAATCAGGTTCTCATTTTATTATATTTTACCATGTAAATTGCAAATTCTCCTTGTGCATAGGTGAGCAAAATATAAACAATTATAGACATTGCACTTAATTGAGTGCCTACCTTTTAAGTAGGTATACATTTACACCTCAACCGTGAGAAAAGGAATTGTTAGTATTGGAATTTAATTCCCCCGTCGTTAGAAATATACTCTATCAGGTTGATCTCCACGCAGTCCCTCCTGGAAACTATCGTGGTAAATTCTCTGTAAATTCGCCATGATAGGCCAACTAACTTGACTTTATTTTCACCTATCATCACCCACTGCGACCACACCAGCACATACTGATAGTGCAAGCGGGGTTAAAGGAAAACAGTCCTTGAAATGTAACACTCTCTGGAAAACATCGTACTAAATTCTTGATAAATTTTCAAGCATACATCAATACCAATACCGTAGGTGTGGTGATCATTCCATCTTCATTCCATATAATAACATCTAAATCGATATTAATTATTTACCTGCCCCCACGCACTTCATACAGATCAATCGTATGTTCAACAATAACCGACTACAGTTAAGCGATTCGTCACTATAAGTGTCATTACCCGGTGAAGTCATCTGCCGAGAACACTCGACAATCACTGCCTGAACGTTTCCTATCGCAACTTTAGTGTTGATGTAATTTATGAGAAAAAAGTCGAGGTCGTGTTGTGTCTACAACACTACATTCCTAATACAAAGTTCCTAATTCCTAGTAAAAAAGAATTACTAGTAAAAAAAAAAACATTTTGTTTACAAAAAGTAACATAATTATAAGAGAGATAAGTACTGGTACAGTATTATACAGATTATCTTCTAGCTTATCGGCCGCTATTTCGTACACGTAGATTTTTTTTTTTTGATGGGTGAAAATGGTATGGTAACCCCGCCTGCGCTAACGGGATACGCTGGCGGAGCACCAGTGAAGGGTGTAAGATGAGAATGAAAACAGATCAGTTAGCCCATCATGATGAATTCATCAGGAATTAACCATGATAGTTTCCAGGGAGAACCGCGAGGAGCTTGACCTGGTTGGGTATATTGCTAGCAATAAGATTCTCAGTCTCCATTACTAACAATCCCTTTACCCCCACACGTAGATATTAGAAGTAGGAAAAATAATAAAATAGACTATTTCTAGACAGCAGCGAATCAAAATATATCATGCATCATTTCAAATTAGACCTTCAGGAACAGAATTGTGAATACTGTATCCAAATCAGTGAGTAGTTTTTGCGTGAAACTTTTTTTTTTATGGTTTGCGGTACAGTATTTAAGGCATCCTGTCCTCGCTACCCCGGTGATGGAATCCCTATACAAGAGGTTACTTGGTGAGCGAAATTTAGACGCAATGAACGGCCGGATACTGCAACAAATGAGTATGTGGTCGGCCTCCGAACTGGCGACCTCTGCTGTCTATAGGTCCCCAATGCATACTGGAAGAAAAATACAGAAAAAAGAAATCTATAAATTATTGTTTTAGATTCTATTAAAACCACTCATATGTATATGTATATGTGTGTATATATATATAGTTGCAATTTTTTATATTAGTGGGACGACTGTATGTTTATATAGGTATATGACAAAATTAGACACTAAGAGATCACTGTAAAATAGGATTAATTTTAGGTCATTGTTTTATTAGGTATATTAAGTGCGTTAGGTAAATAAAACTTTACTACAGTAACATTTGCCTATTACGTGAATTTGGCATACACGTATTACATATTTGAAATAGAGAATTACATACTACTATTATCTACTTTTTATCCTAGTAATTCCAAAGAATTTAGATGAAAAATAGACAAAGGGCATAATCCGTTAGTGTGTAGGTATATTAAATACTTTTACAGTTTTCCTAACTCATCTGAAATATCAGGTATAAAAATTGTTACTAATAAAATGATTATTTAAACCATTAAGGAAACCTTTATTGGAGGAAATAACAATTTTATTGTAATTATAATAATACATGTATATTACCTGTAAGGGTATTAAAATGTTTGAAATAAAATATATGAAACGTTAATAAAAATAAATTGTAATATACGAGTACATTTCAAAGTTACATATTATAATGAAAACATATGAATATGTATATGGATATTAATATATTTAGATATATATTTTATAATAAAATATAATTGTTTAGATTACTCAAAATTATTTTCGATATCACGGCTAACGCCCTCTGTCGGCATGTAGTCGAATAGGACGGCTTTCTTTTCGTAACCACAACGGAACAAATTCCAAGCGACGTCTTCAGGGATATCGCCCTGATATTGTGCGCAATTTTCCAGAATCTAGAAAACAATAAAAATAAAAATATATAAAAATCCTGTGTTAGTTTGTTCATGCTAATCCGAATCTTTGAATTGGAATTAACGCTAATCATCTCCAAAACCTCTCGGCCTACTTTTATAAAATTTTATAAATGTGTATTGTTTACTTCCACTTAAGAGACGGGATAGTTTTTAATCCCGATAAGTGACGGTAGGTGGCAGTAGGGGCAAACGTATCGTGTCGTAGGGGTATCCTATCATCATCATACGAACAATTAATTGTCCACTGCTAACAAAGGCCTTCTACTTGGGGGATTTTGACAAGTTTCCACGCTCAGCAGGCGGGCTGACTATCGCAGTTAGATTTTGGATGAAAGACGATGCTGTATATCTCTCGAACATTAAATTATCTTCACTGGTCACTGGATCACTGGTATTTTAATTAGAATTATTTCGTTTAACTAACACGTGAAATTTTGAATGGTAGCAGTTACACTAGTCGTAGAGGAATTAAACAAAATAATCCTAATCATATCCCAAAGAGGGTTGACGTTAGGCAGGCGGCCGGTCGTAAAACTATAAGCCAAATCTTTTTGCAATATGGATAAAAAGCATATTACGTCGACCTTAAAAAATAATTGGGATAAGGGTAGGAAAATGATGATGAATCCTATTCAAATAACCAATAAAATATAGACAAGAATAACTAATAATCATCAATTGATACAATAACAAAACGCAATAAATTTTATGTAAATTAATAAATTACCTTTGTAGCATTCTTTCCATCAGCCCTTAACGACATTTTGCCTGTTACAGCGGTCTTCTGGAGTTTTCCGTCTTTGCTTATCACCTTGCACTTGAGCAGCACACAGTATACGTGCTTCTTTAATGCCTGATTGTCAATCAACTCTCCGTTCAGCATGGCGTCGACGAGCTTGGGGTCAACTTGCGATTGTGGTAAGCAGGCTTCTGAGTGAGCTCGGAACATTGCCTTTTCTTCTTTGCCTAATAGCTACAACATTGTTATTAGCAACTAGCTATTTGCACACTACTTTGCACGCGTGAATTTCAGAAGAAGTAATCTTTACTATATTTTACCAAAGGGAGACTTTGTACAAAAGTCGATTGCCTGGGTACCTCTGTCCCATTCGTGTTTCTACCGTGAAGCAGTTGAGTTTGCATGGCTGTGTTTCGGTTTGAAGGGTGGGATATGGCGTGAATTTACAGGGTACAGAGGAATACCACCTGAGTCCTCAGGAATGGCAACGCATGGGGGTATCATGAGCGAAACACACTCTGTTATGTCCATGGTACTGCTCATGTGTATAGGCGACGGTTACCACTTTCTATCAGGTGGGCCGTCAGCTTGTTTGCCATTCTAAGTTGCATGAAAAAAATTAAAGAAAAGAATACTGAGTTGACGAAACTAGATATCAGTAATTATATATGGTAATATTTTGTATTTTTATTCATAAATATTATAAACATACAAATGAAAATCTCTAAACTGTATTAAACTGTATCGTCGTATACGTCTCTTACCCTGGATGAGAGTGAAAGTGGTCGGTTTATTTTTTTAACAACTAAGTAAATACGTATAATTCATAAGTACAGCCTTAGTATAATATATTTACTTATAAATATGGTTTTTAAAAAATAATAAAATTACAAAAGAAAACTTACAATACAATGCTTGCATCCTGTCGTTGCCTATAAAATTAAAATATCAATGGTTAATATCCGTATCGTAAATACACAAATATAATAAAAAGAGGATAAGTCTTTAAGTGTTTTTAAACAAAAGAAGAAAACACTGAAAAAGAAAAACTATGAACAAAACTCATCTACATGGGAAGTTCTTTTCTACACGTGTTTTATCATCATATACCTGTGATCGAATGACTGCATTTCGATTAAAAGAAAGAAGGATACCTAATAGTTTAGTATTCTGGATTAGCAGTGCTGTGGGTATCACAGTGTTTTCTGTAACGTCCGTGGTGCAGTTTACACAATGCTAAATACTAATAATAATGTTTAGAATACTAAAGGAAATAATTATTAACAATGAGATGCTTGTCTCCGTTGCAATACGAATCATCATATCAACCTTAAACTGTCCACTTCTATATATAAGCCTCCTCCTTGGGGAGTTTTTCTAGTACTTGCCACGCTTTGCAGGCAGTTTCGCAACCGCAGTTAGGCTTTGGAGATGTAAGAGATATTGCTGCCCATCTCTCATCCTCCCTAGTCGCTTTGTACGACACCCACGGGAAAGGAAGGGATGACTTATTCAATGCCGGGACCACACGGCTAACGCAATACAAGTATATCTTATTAATTCAACCACTACATCCTCCACGCAGTATTAGAAACCATTGTGAGATCATCACGATGGGCCAACTATCCTGACTACATCTCCACCTATCATTCATCACTGGTGTTCCTCCAGTACATACCGATAATACAGGCAGGTTTATCAATCCATTTTCATCCCATAAAGAAAAATAGGAAACACCATACCCTTACCGTCTGAACACATCCAAGTACGCCGAACACGCCGGCGGCAATCAGCCACGAAATCATGTAGTAGAGTTGATTTTGTAGCAAGCGCAGCGACAGTGAACACAGCAGAGTAGCCAGCGGAAGACGTGACAACGTTGGCAGGAAAACTTTCGCGCGCAGGAGTGCACGCTATCTTTTATGCTTGGATGTATGCCGTATGTGAGAACGCCCTTACTACGATACCTGCTTTTGATGTCACTTATTTGTCATGTGAGCTGCAAGTGAATACATATCTACTTATACGTAATATGCACATGCAGGGGAAAAAAGGGACAGTTAGTAATTGGGATTAGCAACCCTATTACCAGCAATATCAAGTCCACCTCCTTGCGGTTCCCCCTGAAGCCATCGTGATTGATTAGTGAATTTATCACGATGAGCTAATTGACCTTTTTTTTTAATGTCTGGAAAATGCTTTATGCAGACTCATACACCTTGTGGGGGATGAATGGGTACTGTGCGAATCCCCCCGTAAGGTGGGAGTGTACCCACCAAAAACCAGACGATGTACCCTCGAGGTGCCATATGGCGGAGACATGGGTTCGCTTTCGCACTCACCACATCTCCGACGGCAATGAGCTAACTGACCTGCCTCATTTTCACTTATCATCCCTCACTGGTGCCTGCCAGCGTATACCAATAGCACAGGCAGAGTTACCATTTTATTTTCATCCATTAAAAAAAAACATTTGGTTATCGTGGTAGGGGTATAGTAATAATTATGGTTATAAGATGAAACAATACTGTCATCAATACTCCGATTTGTTTAGTAAACAGAATGCGGACGCGAAACGGCAACATCGTTGCTCATCGGCCGAATATTCAACGGAACGGAACCCAACCAAGGCATGGTCATAAATAATTACACATTTCAATTATTACTCGCCATTGCATTATATTTATTTATAATTTAAAATAATTTAATTACAATTTCTATTATTTATATAATGTTATTATTCATATTGTTAATATCTTTACTTATTTAATGACATTTAATAATTTAATTCTGTTTTAATGTTTATCAAACACAAGGCATGGTGTGGTTGCCTTTAAATGTAATGTATGTGTACAGTTAGATCTAATCTGCCAGTGTATTGTATTGAAATGATTAGCTGTAAATAAATAATTAAAACGATTTTCGAAGGAAAGAGGGTCTCAAATCGTCTGAATTTTTTCACGATTACATTACGCATTTACGTCGCTTTTTTTTAACCGATTTTCATAATTCTTTTTGCTGCCCTGTACTAAGTTCATTCTCATGTAGGCCTTATTTCAATTTATTGACGAGCGCAGCTGCCGATTTTTCTTTCATCATCATCATTACATCGAACATTAACTGTCTAAAGCTGAACATAGGCCTCCCTCATAAGTAAAATTTTGTTAGTACTTGCCACGCTTGACATGTGGGTTGGCGACTGCAGTTAGACTTTTGGTGGCGTCCCTTGACCATTAAACTCCCTCAGGCGCCTCTTACGACACCCATAGGAAAGGGACTGTTTTTCTTTTTAAAGCAATAAATCCTCGTTACAAAGTAAAATTAATTTAATTCAATTTACTGAATAAACATGTAGTACAATAATTAAATGGTATGAGATTAGGTTTTGCCCGAAATCTTTGGGTTTTATATACATGTTTTTGAATATAAAATCTATATGGGCCCCAGGCGGTAGACAGCAAAACGATTGCCTAGTCAGTATAAGTAACCAGACTGACTTTGTAACTTTGTACAAAAGTCGATTGTTTGAGTACCTCTGTCCCATTCGTGTTTCAACCGTGAAGCAGTTGTGTTTGCATGGCCGTGTTTCGGTTTGAAGGGTGGGATATGGCGTGAATTTACTGGGTACAGAGGAATAACATCCGAGTCCTCAGGAATGGCAACGCATGGGGGTATCATGGGCGAAATAGTATACTCTGTTATGTCCATGGTACTGCTCATGTCTATAGGCGACGGTTACCACTTTCCATCAGGTGGGCCGTCAGCTTGTTTGCCATTCTAAGTGGTATAAAAAAATAGAAAGATTGTACTGATAATGATTTACTTAACGGTTTAGTCGAGTTGATGTATGCAGACGCTAGACGGCGGACGCGGAGGCTGCGACGGGCAAAGCCGTTGCAACACACACGGGGCCATGCCTGCTGCTAGCACCACTGTAAGGAGCAACTGCACCAACATTCTTGCGTCTGAACTTGAGATGTGAGACAAATAAAGACGATTTAGAAATGTACACATAATTTTTTTGTCATTTTTCGACCCATGGTTCTTTGGAGAATATTTACTTACTCAGATAGAACACTCCCTTAAAAAGATTTTTTTTAGAACACAGGGAGCAAACGAATATACGGCTCACCTGATGGTAAGTGTCTACCGCTGTCCATGAGTACCCCAAAGGCATTGCTAGTGTGTTGCTGGCCTTTTAAAAAGGAATATGCTCTTTTTTTAATGTTACGATGTTGTATCGGTTCGAAATATTGCTACTGAAAGTTGATTCCAAAGCGTGGTTATGCGTGGAAGAAAGTGCCTTGAAAAATGCACGGCAGAGGCCCGCCAGTCTTCCAGATGATTGAGATGGAACTTTAATTTGTGGCGGGTTGTACGGTGATGAAGATCAGCAACAGGTATCAATCCGAACAATTCCTCAGAACACTCCCCATGATATATTCGATAAAAGATGCATAACGATGAAGTCTCTACGCAGTTTCATATGCAATTTTGATATGTAAAACTTGTATGTAAAAAGCAATAGGTCCAGTCTGATGTTGCTAACCAGGTAAAATAGATTTTTTTATTTCAAATCGTAGGTATCAAGAAATTGCACTACGAACATCTAGGGGTACAAGTCAGAACGTCCGGACTAAAGTCAATTTAGAAAAATACATTTCCTATAATACATTAACCGAGAATCGAACTCGGGACCTCATTACGCAAAGCAATATACCTACCGCTGTGTTATAAAGATCGTTAATTTTTTTTTTGATGGGTGATAATGGAATGGTAACCCCGCCTGCGCTAATGGGATACGCTGGCGGGGCACCAGCGAAGGGTGATCGATGACAATGAAAACAGACCAGTTAGCCCATCATGATGAATCCATCAAGAATTAACCATGATAGTTTTCAGAGAGAACCGCGAGGAGGTCGAACTGGTTGGGTATATTGCTAGCAATGGGATTTTTAATCTCCATTACTAACAATCCCTATCCCCCTAAGATCGTTAATTTACATTTAATATATTACAGTAATCACATTAAAAAAATACACACCATGGCAATTGTGGAATTACTTTTCAAATTGTATAGTCTGGTATTGTTTATATTGATAACAACTATTGATACTAATAGCGCTCGCGAACCACATTTTATATTAATTTCATAAACAAAACATTGAAGTCATTACAAATAAAAAATTTTGACTAATATAACCTGTCGCTGACAAGTCAATTTATTTTTAATTAGAAACTAAACTGTAAAGGGCTAGGCGTTTTCTTTTTTTTTTTTAGTCCGTAATTTTTGGGGCGAAAGGGATTGTTAGTTATGGAGTTTGACAGCCCCATTGCTAGCAATATGCCTTATTAAGTCGACTTCCACGTGGTTTCCCCTGGAAACTATCGTGAACAATTCTTGTTGAATTCGTCACGATGGGCTAACTGACCTACTTCATCCTCACCTATCATCCTTCACTGGTGCCCCGCCGGTGTACGCCAATGGCGCGGGTGGGGCTACCATTCCATTATCATCCATTAAAAAAAAAAGTCCGTAATTTTTGTAACAGATTAAAAATAGTACTTGGGTATGGCATATTTTGCTGAGTAAATTAAAATGACATGTGGAAAACATACTTAAAACGAATTATTCAAAAAAATATGGTTCATAAATAAAAAATGACACTCAGGATGATGTAAGAAATCCAATAATGTTTGAGGATACCTCGTACATCCAAATCTATTTAAACATTTAAAGGTTACGATGGAATAATGACCACATGAACCTTGGCAACATCACAATCACGTTTTGAGCAGTCGTGTAAGAAAAAAATAGTACCTGAACCCTCTTCTTACGTCTCGTTCCCATAATTTTTAATTAAGTTTTATACAATACGCACATTAGCAATATATTATTATGATATACTGTATCTCTCAATATACCACATATGCATTGGCAATGCAATAACATATTAACCTCTTTTCAACCGACTTCAAAAAGGAGTTTCTCAATCCGGTTTATTATTTTTTATGTTTGTTACCTCACAACTCTTTATTTTGAAAGGATATTACTTACAAATTGGATCCATAGAATAAATTGTATCAAAATCGGTTCAATAATTTAGTTTTTAATTAAAAATAACTCGTTCTTGCCAAAATTCACTTGAATGACTATCTTAAAATCTGCTGTGTGTTTCATTGGTACTCCATCTAGAATTAACTTTGTTAGTCTTTCTACTTCTGTATCTATGTCTACGGAGTTTTTTTTTTTTATGGATGAAAATAGTATGGTAACCCCGCCTGCGCTAACGGGATACGCTGGCGGAGCACCTGTGAAGGGTGATCGATGACAATGAAAACAGGCCAGTTAGCCCATCATGATGAATTCATCAGGAATTAACCATGATAGTTTCCAGTTATATAAAATAATATTACTAACAATCCTTTTCCCCCCTATGTCTACGGAGCAACCAAAAAGCTAGTTAATAAAATAATATTGTTCGCTGTGTGGTCTCGGCATTGAATAATCATGGAATATCGCCAAAGAATAGCCATTCCTTCTATTCCTGTGGCTGTCGTAAGACGCGACAAGGGAACTTAATGGTCAAGGGATAGGCAGCAGCGTCACTCAAAACATCAGTGAAGCCTAACTGCAGTTGCGAAACCGCATACCAAACATGGCAATTACAGCCAAAACCTTCCTAATGGGGGACACATATGTTCAGCAGTGGACAGTTAACGGCTAATATGGTATAGTAAATAAAACAATGAAATTATATAACTTGAATATAGTCCTCTTTATTTTCTATATTGGAACACACAACCTAAATTCACACATTATTGATAACGTTGGTTATTTAAACGAAAAAAATAAAATAATAATATTTGATTTTCATTTATAATCTATAAAATGCAATACAATAACAGTTTCCTAGACATATAAGCCTAGTTATTTTTAAAATTACTGACTTTTTTCTAAATTTTTTTGTGTTTTATACAACTTAGAATGGCAAACAAGCTGACGACCCACCTGATGGAAAGTGGTAACATAGACATGAGCAGTACCATGGACATAACAGAGTATACTTTTCGCCCATGATACCCCCATGCGTTGCCATTCCTGAGGACTCAGGTGTTATTCCTCTGTACCCAGTAAATTCATATATGTTCGCCATATCCTACCCTTCAAACCGAAACACAGCCATGCAAACACAACTGCTTCACGGTTGTTTTCTAAATAAACACATGTCTTTGTTTAATGAGTATTATATCAAATTATAAAGAATAACAACGCCTCAACATCTTTGACATGTTTCAAACGATTAAATGACAATTCGGGACGCACTGCTTTGTTTAAACATGTCCATAGGTAGGAGTGAATTTATTAGACTGTGTTACGTCACTCACATTGCATGCATATAGAGCAATAATTGATTTAAAATAAAATCAGTAATTTTAACTTTAAAATAACATGTTTGTTTAAATACTAAATCATGTAAATACATACACACAATATCCCGCAATCTATACATACAAATCATCATCGGCTTGATATATTTTTTAAAATTTTTATATACAATGTGTAAAAGTTAGGTTATAACTAAATAAAGACTAGCTATTTTTATTAAGTAGCTATCGGAGTTTATAATACTAAAGTAAAATGTTATATATTTTACTTATACTTTTTGTGAATTAATTATATCATACTAGACTCAACTCTAGTAAGAGTTTACAGCCATCCTCTAAGATACGGAGCTGTACTCGTTCTCTATCCACTTACAGCACAAATCTGAGAGGACCGCTTTTGTTGCACTGTTTGTGACTACAGTTTATTTCCTTTGCTTATGCAATCTTTATAGCAATAAAAACATCATTTATTTATCTATTTATTGCATTCATGAAACTGAATGCTTCAAATGTTTATAAAAAATAAATTTATAAATTATAAATTTATTAAGGAAAGTAAAAACTAAATATTGTTCATTGGTAAACGATTTATTAATTAATGACTGAAATCCACAAAAAAAAAACAGCTACAATTGTGGTATTTTTATTTAAAAACTAAACTACCGAACCGATTTCGATAAAACTTCTATGGGATCGATCTGAAAGTATATCCTTATAGATAAAAAAAAAAAAGAATTTTTCAAACCTGTTTATAATTGACGGAGTTATAAAGTAACAAATATAAAATAAAAATGATATTGAATGAGAACCTCATTTTTGAAGTCGGTTGGCAAGTGAACCGTTTGTCTACTTCGAGTCGTATTCCTTGGGGTTTAGGAAATTCAGATCTCTTTACAAGAAATTTACTTTTTATATTCGTTCGTTCATTTACTTAATGGTCTAAAAATTAACAGTTCAAGAGTTATTTAATATGGATATCTCTTATATACTAAACCGAGTTTATGTTTATTTTTTAATTGAAAGGTTTTATTTGCTTCTGTGTTTTTTTTTATCGAAAGCCGGTTTTTTGTGGAACAATCTTAAATTGGTGTCTTGATGAACCGCCAATACATTACCGAATCATAGATTAATATGCGCAATACAGAGAAATTACAAAACGAAGATTATTTATTATGCGGATATAAATTATCCCATCTACCCCACTAGTCGCACGTATTATCCGATAATGGGACAACTGGCCCATTTTAGCTCCGTATAAGTGATACATTATGTTAATCGATTACAGTAGAAATTAATTCTTTTTACTAGACTATAAATGAGACAAAGGAAACTTCGTCTCTGATAGAAGTCGTTGCTTATCGATTTATTATATACTAGCGATCCACCCCGAGTTTGCATAGGTGTCATATTCGATAATATTATATAGTATATGTTACTCGCTGATAATGTAGCTTTCTACAAGTGAAAGAATTTTTAAAGTCGGTTAAGTAGTTTTTGAATTATTACATTACAAATAAATATACCAAAAATCTAATATGTTTTCTTTATAATATTAGTACAGATGTAAAAAGTGTATCTAGTTCTCGATCATAAACAAAAACTCCTTGTCTATGTGCTCCTAGCAATTATTAAGAATAAACACTGGCAATATATTAATTGGAAACAAACTTAATATTTGCGCCATTTGTGCAATGTCACTACTGGAACAAAAGTCAGTTGTCCCCATCACGAAATAAAACGATGTGACTAGTCCGCTAGATGAAAATTATCAGAATACAGGACATTTCCGGACGGTTTGAATCCGTGGCTCCTTCAAGGCCAACGAAAATCCTCTAGACCACTAATCTCATTCATAAATGATACTTCATAACGTTACAACATACAAATCATCACAGGTCAGCTCTTTTGGTGTACCTTAGGTTTCGATCTATCATCACGTCGCTTTAGTCTTGACACTTTTACACGCTTCGTGTGTATAATTCACAAATAACTCTAAAGATATTAAAATGTAATAGGCCTGATATTTGGTCGCCGATCTTCTGTTACTACAGCAGATGGAAACTTAATACATCTGCTCTCCTTGACAAGGTACAAACGAATCTATCAATAGAAACGATCGGTCAACGCTCACATGGGAAAGAACAATACTGTACATCTCATTCAATGTGATAAACTTGCTAACGATGACTCTATCTACGTTTGTCCTTTGTCTAGGGGCCAGATTATACAACTTATAATCTCGGTCACACTAAGAGGGATATAGGGCACTCCTGCTCAGTTCGATCGTCGCCGATCTTCCGCCGACGAAAGATCGGCAACTTTGATTTTATATTTTCTTGCAATCAAATGCATATGCGCATTCTATGTTTAGGTATTTATCAAAAATATGTGATATAACACAACTAAATATAAAATGATCAATCGTAACAATTCAAATTTCGCCTATAGTTACGGATCAATCTCTAGCGAGAAATAGACCTGGCTAATTCATTCATATAATAAGCATTGTTTAACAGGATAATATTTTTACAATACAGTTCAAATTGTCTTCTCTCCCCCTATCTATTCCCATTCCTTACAATTTTCCGTACTTTTCGATCCTTTCAAGCTATATTAAGTGGTCAGTAAACGGTCAAGCGGTTTGAGGAAAGTGTAAAATAAATGCTCGTGTAATACGGTCTTTAGGCATAAAAAGATAAAATCAATTTTAACATTAAGTAAATTTATGACTTGAATTTATCAATACTCTATCTCAACGACGCCATTTGGCAGGATACAATGAGTAATTTTATCGTACTTTAAACGCATGGCATTAGTTTCTTATTAACTGTAAGCGCGCTTCTTTTTAATAAAGGCATTCTTCCAATCGCTCGGACAAGTATTAAGTACATAAAGATCGTTGGTACTTCAACAGTCAAAACTTTCGACCCATAACAAATAATGGGTGAAAAGGACAGAGCTAAAAAGCGAGAAAAATGCGCGTCAAGCACAAACCACACGTAAATACATTTTTTTGTAATCAATAATCTATAAATATAGATTAATTAGTTATAGTATCCGCTCTAAAGCGGTTTACTACCACTACCATGTTTTTAATATTAAAACAACGTCAAATAGATAAAAATTGGCACTGTTGTCGTGTGTGCAGACTCTTAACAGATAAATCTGTTTAGTCACGTGTAATGTTACGTACACATAAATAGGCCCTTGTCACAGTGAAATTATTTAAACCCGTCGACTTTTTTCAACTAAATCCATAAACGGTTATTACGACAAGGTACCAAATGTATACATAATAATTCCACGCGACTTTTTTGAATAAACATTGAAACAGTCAACAATATTCGTTGAAACAATGATTTTTTTTCATTTACTATTTTTAGTATTCCGAATAAATCCGTACACTAACTGTGTAACATCTAAAAACTGCAATATTAGTCTCTGAAAGAGCACACTGTCGCTACACGTTAGCGGGCCTTCGCTTGCGCAACCGTTGCCTGCAGTACACTCCCAGGAATACTGCGGCGAACACTAGCATCACTCCGAGCACCCCGCCGACTGATATGACGTGACCGTAGACTAGACACGAGAGAAGAATTGATACCGCCTGAAAAAATAATTGTTTAGTTTGTTTATGGTAACATTACAGTTTTTCAGTAATGTAACCCTGCCAAATTATATATTTTTATTGCACTTGTAAATTACATAGTTAATGTATTTATAAATGTTGTAAGCAAGGGTGGACTTATCTCTGACAGAGATCTCTTCCAGTCAACCCGATACAGTTGGAAAGCATGTTATTAGTGAGCAGCTTAAGCGCTACAAACTGAAAAGGTTGTTTCGAAGGAGTTAAGATGTATTATCATTTATTTATATATAGTATACGTTTAATAGAGTAAATAACCGATATTAGTCTCTTCGGGATATTTATGAAAATTTACATAAGAATCATAAAAGATACAAAAAACAGTACAGCATTGTTGCCCCTTTACCTTGATTCTTGTAATTAAGACTTTTTATTTTTGTGTGCATATTGTTAACCTCAGTAATCTGTATCACTCTTTGAAGGGAACAACCAAGAGTTTTCATTCGTTCGACATTTTCGAAAAGGGCGTATTAATATTTCCTAGTGGTTCGGTCACGTGACACCCCTAGTGTTGCCACCTTTGTGGTGTAAAATAAATATCAGTTTTCATATTACCTGTCTGAGAGTCATAATAATGGTGAACACCACAGCACCGAATCGCGCTATCGTGCGATATATAAGCAGCTGGCCCACTGCTGAACTCGCCGACAGCAAAAGGCAGTCGAATGCGAACACCGGATGCTGGAACAAAACAAAGAATAACCTTACGAGCTGTCAGCTAATAATATGGCAAAATAGTAAGAATATAATTCTTTTTATACAACTTAGAATGGCAAACAAGCAGACGGCCCACCTGATGGAAAGTGGTAACCGTCGTCTATAGACAACAACAGGACCATCGACATAACAGAGTACACTGTTTATACCCTTCATGCATTGCCATTCCAGAAAACTAAGATGTTATGCCTCTGTACTCTGTAATTTCATTTCTATATCTGTTGAAACCAAAACACAGTCATGCAAACAACTGCTACACGAAAAAAAAAACAAATGGAAGAAAATAGAAGAGCTCCCTGCCGAGGTTTTCCCAAGAGACTACAGCATGGGGTTCTTCAAAAGAGGGGTAAAGAGGTTTCTTCAGGGTCGGCAATGCGCGTATAACATCTCTGGTATTGCAGGCGTTCATAGGCTACGGTAATCACTTACCATCAGGTGGGCCGTATGCTTGTTTGCCACCTCAGTGGTATAAAAAAAAGCTCAAGCAGACGATTTTGATACAAAGTCTTCCTCTAGTTTTTACCATGTTATTATTTATCATCACTCCTCATCTTTTGATGTTTGTTACTTATTTACAAATATTTTTTTTAGAAAATTACTAAACGGATTTGGTACGTTATATCCTAACTTGGGATATAGAATTCTCTATATACTGAATCATGGGAGCAAAAAGAAAAAAAGTGATAAAACATAAGTGTGTATATATATAATTAATTCTTAATATATATAAGAGTATATTAAAAAAAAAATTAAAAAGAAAATAAATAAGCTGGTGCATTATAAGAAACAAACCTGCAACAGTCTCAACGAATATATAGTTGTATTGTGCTGCGCGAGCGCAGACGCGGTGAGCACGCACGAGAACAAGTTGACGCCGCACAACATCTGCAGCGAGGTACAGCTGTAGCGCGTGAACAGCGCCCCCTGCCACGACGACGTGAAACTATCGCACAGCATGTACAGCGCCAGTAGTGTGAGCCCCGACATTGTTGTCACTGTTGACACTGTGGAACACACAGATAATTTTTTTTCTCAGACATGCTTGGAAATGTGAGCATTATTTTGACAATCTTCGTAGAAATAAATCAAATTTGCCGTACTGTCCAGATACATGCGGGCAGCGGCCGGCAAAAGTTGTATGAAAATCCATATCTGTCGTGTTTTGCGGCCAGATAAATTACTATGTAAACTTATATCTGTCCTGTAATTTAAAAATGGAATGACCTTTTACTTCTGAACATGGCTACCAAGGAGATAACTAATAAAAAGTTTTATTTAAATTTCGAACTGGCTTGCAAATAGAAAGCTGTTTATTGAAAAAAAAAATACAAATGAACATATTGGCGCGTGGAAAATTATTATTGTTAGTTATTCGTCATTGAACTTAAAAAGTAAAATTGTGTTTTTGATTTCCGCGCATTGTTTGAGAAAAGTACTATACAAGCCTTGGCCACAACTAGGCATTGATGGACTCACGTATGTGTGCCTCGGCTTCGCCTCGGCCCACTTGCATTTGCACGTTCGTCCATCAATGCCTCAGTTGCTGGCCGCTGCAGTAATGTACTAATAGACATATAACGAGTAAAGCGTTGAAAATTGCGCGGCTGAATTCGATTCTGGAATGAGCACGCCCCTCCTCCCCACACTTAGCGTACTATGGGTTTTAATTAGTTGTTACAGATCTAAATACATGTAAGAATTGCGTCAATTTCTAATGACGTAACGATCGGATTTGCTTTGAATAACCTGCCGAGTTTAATAGGCATCTTGTGTTGAAAGAACAATATTAAAGTACTAGTATATTTACATTTGTCGGTTTATACTAAACAAATCCTATTATGATCTTTATGCACTGAATTTTAAAGCCCGCTAAAAAGTAACACAATTCTTAAATGTCAAAATATAATAAATATACAATAACGTTATTAATAATTGACGACAATATTATATATTATTAAATTATAAAAATAATATGTACAACAAAAATATATTTAAAAAAAAACATACAAAAATATAACCGCTATCTGGAGCCTGCACGCACGTAGATCGGGAAGCGTAGCCGTACACGCATGGCTCTCGAAATAATACAGAGTATATAAATAAATTATACAAACCATATAAAAAAATTGCCCTGTGGTCCCGGCATAGAATGGGCCTTCCCTTCCTTTCCTGTGGGAGTCGTAAGAGGCGACTAAGGGAACTTAATGGTCGAAGGAATGAGCAAAAACGCGTCCCTCTTAAAACATCACAAAAACCTAAATACGGTTGCCAACCCTATTGACAAGCGTGGCAACTAATGGCAAACCCCCATCTTTATGGGGGAGGTCTACATTCAGCAATGGATATGATGGTGATGATATAAAAAAAAAAAATTAAATATACTCATGACTAACAAAACTGGTATACCTATTTATAAATGAAATCTAAACTAAAAACAAATATAATGAGATAATCTATGACGCCACAGACAGAAACACAAACAAAGAGTTTATATTATTAACATATTTCTTTATGCAACTTGCATAGTAACCAAGCTGACAGCCCAGCTGATGGAAAGTGGTAACCGTCGCCTATAGACATGATCAGCATTATAGACATCACAGTATATACTGTGACGATTATGTTATTGTATTTTACCATTCACGAAAACTACAGTTACCTATTGAACTCACAATTAAAATATTTGAAAGGATATATAGAAATCACCAGAGGGAGACTTTGTACAAAATTCGATTGCTTGGGTACCTCTGTCCCATTCGTATTTCAACCGTGAAGCAGTTGTGTTTGCATGGCTGTGTTTCGGTTTGAAGGATGGGATATGGCGTGAATTTACTGGGTACAGAGGAATAACACCTGAGTCCTCACGAATGGCAACGCATGGGGGGTATCATAGGCGAAACAGTATACTCTGTTATGTCCATGGTACTGCTCATGTCTATAGGCGACGGTTACCACTTTCCATCAGGTAGGCCGTCAGCTTGTTTGCCATTCTAAGTTGTATAAAAAAAAAAAAACATTAATAACATAAAAATAGAGTTGTGGAGCTCTACTATTTTCATTTTGATAAATGAGACAGTAGGTATCATATCTCAGGTAGGAAGTATAGGCTTGGTTTTCTCTTAATTATTTTAACTGCACCCTAGAGGTTGCAGAAATAAATAAACTAACCTGTGGAGTCGTCATGGCTGCCAAATATGAAGAGCACCATTCCAATAGAAATGAGCACAGCCGTCACATACTCGTACAGTTCGTATTTCTTCCTCGAGATCAGTTTACCCATCAGCATTACGGGTATCACTTTACACGATTTGGATAGCACCTGTAAATGACAATGTTTCACAATTTCAGTACGATACTATAGTTTATTCTTGAACAGTAATCCTTTTCTCCATAGAGTAGATGGCTGATATCACCAATAAAAGCATTTTCGAGAAAGGTTGACGTCAGGCATATTATTTTTTTTTTTTTTATGAATGATAATAGAATGGTAGCCCCGCTTGCGCTATTGATATACACCGGCGGGGCACCAGTGAGGGATGATAGATGAGGATGAAGCAGGTCAGTTAGCCCATTGTGACAAATTCAACAATAAACCAATCAAGATCGTTTCCAGGCGGAACCGCGAGAAGGTCGACCTGATAACAAATATTACTAACAATTCCTTCCCCCCATATTATTATATTACATTATGTCATATTACGCCGACCCCAAATAATTGGGATAAGTGCAAGAAAATAATGATAATAACAGATAATTACGGGGACTAGTTATCCTATTGCTAGCAATATACCATGGCGGGGGGAAAGGTATTGTTAGTTATGCGAACTGCCAGTCCCATTGCTAGCAATACAACTAACTGCCTTTTCATTCTCGCCTATCATCCTTCACTGGCAACGTTAACGTGGGCGAGGTTGCCATTTCATTATTATCCATTAAAAAAATAAACCATGTCAGGTCACCATCCACGCAATCCCTTCTGAATACCACTCGACTCATCACCAGAAAGTGAGTTTGTGTTTATAACCGCTTAGTGTCTTCCATTCAACAATGTAACCAATCACTATGAAATTTGATATGCATATACTTTATGGCATGAAAAAAGACATACTACTTTTATCCCTGTCTAGTGGACGAGGTCGTGAGTAAAAGCTAGTACAACATTCACTGACCTGTGTAGGAAAGCTAACATACTTCAGCGCCTCGTATTGGCACCACGCGCTTATGATGTTGGTGACTGAGCAGTAGGAGAACTTGTAGAGGGGCGCCGCGACCAAGGGCTGGTGGCTGCACAGCAGCCGCCCGACCGCTATGAGAAACGCCGACAGCCGGTTGATGAACACCAGGAATTGGGAGTCATTGAACTTGATCAGGGTACCGTCGGCCATCACGTAGTTCTGAAACAATATCGACATGTTATGTACAATTAGCATTGGCGTGCTTCCTTTATTCACTCAGGAGGAGGAAAAAGGAGAGTTCATTCCTCTCCTTTTACCCAAATTTATTTTTCTTCATCCTCTCCTTTCCTACATACCATAGGTGGCGAATACCACCATTAAATGTATTCCCAAAGAGGGTTATTACCAGCAAGTGGCCTGTGGTAAAATTAAAAGTCAAAATCTTGGATAATATGGATAAAGACGGATTACGCCGACCCCAAAGTTTATATAATGGAGACAAGGGCAGGAAAATAATGATGACATACAATTGCTATTGAAATATTTGCAAATGTCGTATAAAAGTATACTACAAAATCAAGTAATTCCGTCAGGCTTTATTTGATAAGACCGAGATTGACTATTTTTATAATAGCTCGAAATAATATAACACAGTTCTAGAGAGGGCAGACGGTATGCAATGTTTTTTTTTAATAAATGTTTTTTTCTTTTTTAATGGGTGAAAATGGATTGGTAACCCCGTCCACGCTATCGGTATACACCGACGAGGCACCAGTGGAAGACGATAGGTGAGAATGAATGCAGGTTAGTTGGCCCACCATGATGAATTCGACAAGAATTAAACATGACGGTTTCCAGGGGGAACCGCGTGGAGGTCAACCCGAGAGGGTATATTGCCAGTAATGGAGCTATTAGACCCCATTACTAACAATCCCTTTCTCCCCAATAGATGATATTGGAATGGTAACCTCGTCTGTGTTAACGGTATTCACTGGCGGGGCACCAGTGAAAGAAGACAGGTGAGAATGAAAAGGCAGGTCAGTTAGCCTATCGTGATGAATTCATCAAAAATTAACTACGATAGTTTCGAGAAGGAACCGCGTGGAGATCGACCTGTTAGGGTACGAGTATCTCATTCTGTCTCACGGACTCGCTACCGATGTCGATTCCATCGATGAGTTCGCTTGTCACTTGTCGAGATAGTCAGGATATATTTCGTTACCTGTACGCCATTTTTACTATTATTACATAACATAATATCAAACATATTCATATTCTGAAATCTTAAATTATATAGATAGAGAGTATCGAGTTTCAAAAACCGGTCAACTGTTTGTCAGCTAATTGTCAACTTAGCTGACTCGTTTTTATCAGTATTTTATATATTTACGCATAAAATATATCTTGACGTATTATTTAATAAATAAAATTAGTGTTTACGCATTAAAAGATGCAGAATTTATAAGACAATATACAATAGAAGTTACAAAGGAATCACTCATAACTATTTATCACAGAAAAATGTTAAAAAAAAGTTGACCCGTTTTTCTCAAAACATTTCTATGGAGACACTATCTAATGTAATATGTAATGGAAATCTGGAATATAGAAATACGACATAAATCAATACTAATCTATGTACAACATCAAAGTCATTTAAAAAAAAAAAAGTGTCCTACTTCTGTCTACAGCAGCGAATAAAAATCACAAACAATAACATCGATTACTATGTAATACGGTATAACTGTCTAGAAACAATATACAGGTTAGACAGGTAGGTTAGGGACATTGATGGTGAATGATTAACGAACGCCCGTACCAAACCGATTCGTCTCTTTGATTTGATTACATTGACAACATGCCTATAGCATTAAGTCCGTCTTTTGTACCATATTTTATTGGTATTTATATGTATTATTTATGACAAACTACGATAAAACTGTGTAATTTCAGTGTTAGATTGTTATGACCTCCATAACTAAATACAAGAAAACTCATCAATCACTAAAGAAGGTACTAATTATTCATATAAACTTTCCTAAAGACTAGAAAGTTTAGAAAACTAGTAATACCACATTTTCATTGTATGTTATTTGTATAATGTATAATAAAATACAAAAGTCGATTGCTTGGGTACCTCTGTCCCAGTTTAAATCATCTGTTTAAGAGTTTCCTTTTGTCGGAGCAACTAATTCATGCATTTTTTTCAGCCACCTCTATTTCAGGCTATATCTTTGACCTCCCTATATGACATTCCTCGGCCTTCCCCTCCCTCTTTTGACCTCTATTACTCCTTCTACTATGCTCTTTAAAAAATCGTAATGTCGTATAAGCTAGCCCAGCAATTTGCCTCTTCTATTCTTTATTGTTTTTATTAATGTTCTTTTGTCATTCATCCATTAAATTATTTAAAAGCAAACAATTCCGAGGTCGAGCGTGCTGTTGTAGCATTGAATATTGTCATGTTTTTAGCATGTAATATTTATTGATATAATATAAACGATGCTAGTCGTTGCGATGCGACTGCCTGGAGGAAGTTAGTAAGCAGAACTGTAGCTATGGGAACCTATCCAGCCATAACTAGGCAACTACAAAAAACTTTTTTTACTGCTGAAGAGTTCCAAGATTGATCACAATCTCACGTGATGGGAAGTGATAATGTGGTCGAAAATGGAACTCGTAAGCCTACGAATAGCCTACTTAAGTCTATAATGTTTTTTTTTTATGCAACATAGAATGGCATACAAGCTGACGGCCCACCTGATGGAAAGTGGTAACCGTCGCCTATAGACATGAGCAGTACCATGGACATAACAGAGTATACTATTTCGCCCACGATACCCCCCATGCGTTGCCATTCCTGAGGACTCAGGTATTATTCCTCTGTACCCAGTAAATTCACGCCATATCCCACCCTTCAAACCGAAACACAGCCATGCAAACACAACTGCTTCTCGGTTGAAACACAAATGGGACAGAGGTACCCAAGCAATCAACTTTTGTACAAAGTCTCCTCTGGTAAGAATTGTCTTGTTCTAATCGTAACGACTCGCTAATAATAACGTTTCTATCAGTGGATTATCATGCCACATGTCTAGTAGTCTTGACAGGTTTCGTCTTTAGACAATCGTAAAGGTGAATACCATTCAACGGTTATATTTTTGTAAAAAGAAAACAATACATTAATAATTAATAAATCATTACATTATCACTTTACAGCAAAAAATAAAAATAAATAATAAATTAGTTGAGATTAGATAAAATATAATATTATATTTACTGTGATTAACATGCGCGCTACATGGTGTGTATTTTAAACAACATATTAAAATTGCAACTAGACTATGTCTGTACATAGATGATATTTAAGAATAAATATATGGAGGGGGGGGGGGGGGGTAATAAGATTTTGGATAAACAAAAAAATATTGCACTAAACTGAATGCCATAGAGTTTAAGCACTAAAACCACCTTTTGTAACAAACATTTTTTGTAATATGGTCAATAAAGAATAAATAAATGCCATTAAAATTTGGTGTATATTTTACATTGATACACCCTCTAGAAGTGATAATCTATTTCCTAAATCTACCCGTACGAAGTTGCAGGCAGAAATTAGTAAATAAATGATAATTCAATTCTTATCCATTTATAATATCACAATAATGACTAATAACAGATAAAGGTCTATTTTTATAATAATAACAATAGAAAATAAAATATAATCATGCTATGAGATTCTTTCGGCCGTTGAAAATTGGATTTTAATAGTAAACATTATTTGGAAACTTTAAAAGCAAAATATAAAGCAGATGCAAATTTTTTATTGATTGTAGATTTATATAATTACTTATTGTTTATATAAATTATTATTTATTTATATATATATATAAATTTATTAATATTATTATATATATTATATAATTTATATAAAGATTTATATAAATACTTATATTTATATAATTAATTCAATTTAGTTCGCTATGAGAATACTTTTTAATTTTTTTATATTTTCCACCAGAATAATGAAAGATTTTTCAATCGTTTTTGAAAATTGGCAGATAATTTCAATAATATCAGGAGTCAATAATGTCATTACCATGACATGAAATTCCAAATTTTCGGACTATTTGAGAAATCGACCGAGTAAATGAAGCTTGACATTTCGTTCATCATAAATCCTACGGTAATAATCTAAAGAAACGATATTTTAACATTTTCAATATTTTTGAATAGTAAGTATTACGTAATTTTAACTATAAATTAGTTTTCTTCTAACCCAAAATTTCGGAAAATATTTCATGGTAGGCCCTCAGACGTCAGTAAGCTTCGGCATCGTCATCATTAATTTGTCATTTTAGTCATTAGTTATTCACTGTTGAATAATTAATAGCTAAAATGATAAATAGGCATAAATATCCACCATAGACTACCAGTGGTTAATTCTTAATGAATTCGTCACGATGAGCCAACTGAGCTGGATTCATCTCTCACTGGTGGCCTGCCAGCATATACCTACAACGCAGTGGGGTTACCATTCTATTATTAAAAAAAAAAACCTAATTCATTTTAGTTATTAAATTATTTACTGTTGAATAATTAATGGCTGAAATGATAAAGAGGCATAAGCGTCCACTATAGACTTTCAGTGGTCAATTCTTAATTAATTCGTCACGATGAGCCAACTGAGCTGGATTCATCTCTCACTGGTGACCCGCCAACATATACCTACAACGCAGTGGGGTTACCATTCCATTATAAAAAAAAAAAACCTAATTCATTTTAGTCATTAATTATTCACTGTTGAATAATTAATGGCTGAAATAATAAAGAGGCATAAGCGTCCACTATAGACTGCCAGTGGTTAATTCGTTAATTCTTAATTAATTCATCACGATTGGCCAACTGAGCTGGATTCATCTTTCATTGGTAGCCTGCCAACATATACCTACAACGCAGCGGGGTTACCATTCCATTATTAATAAAACCCTAATTCATTTTAATCATATAATTTTCACTGACTAAACTCCTAGTGACGGAAAGAAAGAAATACTTTAATCAAAGAAGCATGCGGCCCACACAGTAGCGCACAAAACAAGAACAAAAGAAATCAAAACAAAAACGAAAGAAAATAATAATTATATACTTCTGTAGTGATTATTTCTTACTGAATTCGCCACAATGGATCCATTGAACTACCTTCATCTCTCAGCCATTCAGATTCCCCGCCAGCATATACTTATTACGCAGCGGGGTTGCCATGTCATTATTATTTTAAAAATAACCTAATTTACTCTCCACTAACCTGGGTCATGATTTTCTCCTGCAACAAACCCCACACTAGGTAAGCACTCATCAGACCCGTGAAACAGAAGGCCAACTCGAAGCCCTCTCTCGACGTGCCCTCGTCCACTTTAGGTAACTTCACCGTCTCGGGTATCCGTTCGCCGGGCTCGCCGAAACAAGCGAACAGTGTTCTTGATATGCAACTCGTGTTCCCTGCAATATATAATACTTTTTAAACGAATCATCATCATCTTTCTACCCTTATCCCAATCATTTGGGGTCGGCGTAATATGATTTTATCCATATTACAAAAAGATTTGGTTTTTAGTTTTACGACCGGTTACCTGCCTGACGTCAACCCTCTTTGGGAATACATTTGTTGGTGGTTTCCGCCACCTACGGTAAGGAAGGGAACGTTGGAAAAGCGTAAAAGAAATTGAATATTTGAAAAAAAGTTACCACTTTTCATCAGATAGGCCGTCAACTTGCCATTTCTTGTTGCATAAAAAAGTTAACAACAAAAAAACTAATAGCAGTTGCAGATAGATGTCGTGACTATAAATAATATTTATACCTAATAATATAAATTGCACTCGTGTACATTAATTGTAAATTTTATCGACATTTTTCATGTGCCCACATCTATCACACTGTGCATTCAGGCCGTGGCCCAGTTATCAGCATTTGTATTTTTAATGGCGCTACTACAATTTCACTCATTCTAATTACATATTATTATTTCGATAAAATTGATTTCGTTAAAAGGAAATAATTAATGGCGTTGTCACTGTGGTTATAGGTTTTTTTTTTCACCCAAAAAACGAAATGAAGGCAACTATTATTTTCTGTTCTGGTGAAACAATCATATTGATTAAAATAACCGGTCAAGTGCGAGTCGGTCTCGCGCAACGAGGGTTCCGTATAAAATTATCAAGTTTAAATGTTTTTTTGGGAAATAACTACACGACTTTGCTTCTTGCCAAATTGGACAACGAAGTGATCCTATAAGGGTTCCGTCTTTTCCTTTGGAAGTACGGAACCCAAAAAAATATGTTTTAAAGGGAAAAATGCGGTCAATTACTTATATTAGTAACCTATATTTTTCTCCATGCCATATAGTGCATGTATACCATAAATTCCATAGTGACTGGTTAAACAGTTAAGAAGTTATAAAGTAACAAACAAACAATCCCATAATAATATTAGTAAGAATAATAAAAAGCCTTTATTAATAAATACAGGGTTGCACGGTTACATATTTTTTTACCCTGGCTTACAAATTAGAGTAACTTGTGTCTTGTAAGCCAAAAAATAGTAAGGATAACCAAGTTTAGTATTTCTTTACTTTTTATAATGATGTTTCAAAATGACCCAAGAGATGAGTCATTAACAATAGTTACCAATAATAGTGAGAAATTAATAAATAACTTTAGATTGTTTTCAATAACTATGGTGGAATACTTGATGCGCGACTGTGATTCGTTGACAAGTATGCATATGAGTCTACTGGGAACGGCTTATCCAGAGCCAGGGGACTACAGATACCTTAAACCACGGGGTATAGTTAAGGAAACACATAGGATCTATGAAATGATGGTAAAAACCAGGGGGAAGCACAAAAGATCCGTAAGGGCTGATATGCAATGGCTAAGCTGACCCCATATGCGAAAATAAGATGGTGGAATAATAAAGAAACTATGAAATATAATTCTAACACTTACCTATCTTATCGAAATAGTTTGATTTGTCTAAATATTTGTATAAAATAAATCCAGGCAGTAGGACTGTTGCATATCCTGCTAAATTTAACAGTAACCGGAAAAACCTGAAACATCATTATTGTCTAAAATCTGAAAAATAAATTATATCAACTAACAAAAATTTGTGTGTAAATTTAAATTTCCAATTAACTCTCTGGTGATGAAAAACACAGATAACAAACTAAATCGATCCTAATAATTTAATTTAATTCATAAAGTAAATAAAATTATAACCCAAATAGATATACTGATTAATTTGTCAACAAGTAATGCTTGAACAAATAACTATTGCTTGAGTGAGAATGGTGTATGCCCTTGTGACTTGTATTAAAAAAAAAAAACACTTCACATCAACATAAATCCTGGCAATAACACTTGAAATTAGAAAAAATATTCTGATAAAAAAAATCTAATATATTATAATAAAAAAAAAATCTTTCCAAATCAGACCTGTTATTGTAGACAATATCTATCCTCATTTGTATATAGTATGTATCATTCTCAATTCTGCATTAATTTTAAAGCTTTTTTTTTCAAACTGCTACTTTATACAATACAAATTTTGCCAACAATTAGGTCATACTTTTCAAACAATCTCTAAGTTAAGAATTTATTAAACAAATTATTTAATTAATCTGAGTGAAAAAAGATACACTCACCATGTATATTCCATAACCATGAGTTTTCCGGATTGTTCGTAAGCATTAAGTAGCTCATGGTATAGCTGCGCGAAGATCCATGTCATTAATACACATGATATACCTACCAATCTGAAAACAATATTTTAAGATTACCCATAATGTCATCATATTAACCATTGTCTGTCTACTGCTGAACACCCATAGTGTATGGGCATTCGGCAGTAATAATACTCATATACATATTTAATCATAATTTATCTCCATATAAACACCATAATTTGCTTGCTAACACTAATATACAAAAAAAATCAAAATGGGAATGTAATCCCCATATGTTACACTTAAATCGGACCCATATTTATGTAAAAAATAAGTAGTTATCGCAGAACAAGACATAAGTGGAGTTTAATACTTAAGTAACTATATGTCTAGAAAGTATATTTTTACAAATTAAAATTTAAAAAAATATTTTAACATATCTGGCTAGTTATAGACATACAGTGCTTACACTGTAAGTCTGTCACTTAGTTAAATGCACTCTACATTCAATGTTGTCTTTTATTGTCTGATTGTGTATCTAGGGTTATTTTATATCAATGGTTAATATCCTTATTAATAATATAAATGTGAGAGTTAGTTTGCTACATTTTGACTCCTAACAGTTTAACCTATTACTATGAAATTATGGGTATATATACTTTTTTTTTTATACAACTTAGAATGGCAAACAACCTGACGGCCCACCTGATGGAATGTGGTAACCGTCACCTATAGACATGAGCAGTACCATGGACATAACAGAGTATAATGTTTCGCCCATGATACTCCCCATGTGTTGCCATTCCTAAGAAATCAGGTGTTATTCCTCTGTACCCAGTAAATTCACGCCATATCCCACCCTTCAAACTGAAACACAGCCATGCAAACACAACTGCTTCACGGTTGAAACACGAATGGGACAGAGGTACCCAAGCAATGTATGAAATGGGAAGATAGATAGATGGAGATAAACAATTAGTAAACATATCCCAGTCATGTGAATGAAATTACGAGTAAAAGCATGTTAACATATTAAACGTAGGTTTCACAATGTATTCTGTGGTGTTTATGTCAATAGACATCCGTTACCACTATCAGCAGACAAAATTAGCTGCAAACGTACGCATTTTATTGGTAAATAAGTAAAGTCGCGGTGTTTGCGGATACGCTCAATATTTAATTACGGCATATATTCATTTAATACCTACGTAAAAAATCTTTATATTTATACTATTAATTATTTATCTTAGAAAAATGTGCCTTAGTTATTCCTCCATTATAATTAAAATTTCTAATATTTGAACAATGTATGATCAAACAAAAATGGCAAATGCAAAATTGACACAATTTAAACAAAGAACTTACCCAACTATAATCCTAGAATTCATCATGTTAAATTACACTACACAATACTGTATTTAATGATATGTTTTATAATGGAATATTATTTAACTGCAATAAATAATTTCATTAGCTAAATTCATCCATTATACTCGTAGTCGTCATCCTATATCGCAATCTGTTCATCAAATGTCATTATCGTATGATTGGGTGGACTGACACTGACTCTTATCGTAACTTGACATTTGACATTGGAAAATGTTGACATTTATTGCAGAAAACTACCTACTAAAATAAAATTTTATCATTTCTACCAATTATAGAATAAGGATGGTATCAGCCCCCCCCTACGCTACCAATATAATAATAAAAAATAATTCTTTATTAAGGTTACTGGGATCCCATACTTTTTCTATTTTACAAAGTATTATAATTACAAATTTAGTTGGGTATTTCGATATGCAACGTGACACAACGGTTCACATAAAAAGAATCCGTCCTACTTGCTAACATGGCCAGAACGTAATTGTTATATATTACCTATCTTTTGATCAATGATCTTTAATGTATGCATAAAATAAATAATTCATTTCTCAACATTTTTTTAATATTGTCAGACTTAATTTTACTCATTATACAACTAACAAATAGAAAGCGAGACGGGATATTAAAAAGAAATGGTAAGGATTTTGGTATTGGTGATAGTTATAATTTGATGTTTTAGTAGAAATTAAGGAAGCTAAGAAAAGAAATTTTTAATGAAATGAGAAACTTAATGAGTAAGGAATGATTATATCAGGAGCAGGAAAATCTTTGCAAACCTGAGAACTGAGAATGATCAGTGATGACAAGTTTTATAATAAGGTTAGAATACCTTGAATTAAAATAATGACAGTTACCTATCACCTTTTAAAAATAAAGTGTTAATACGTCAGTTTAAAATTGGTTTCTTATATTTTCGATATTTTTTTTTTTTTATCAATATTTGTAATAGTAATATTATTTAAGTAATATTAACCATATGGAAGCTCAGTCAAGCTACAAGAGTTATTTTTGCAATATAAAAAATGTGGTCTGAAGCTATAATGTTTTTACTAGAGTTTATAGCAGCAGTATGCGCTGTAGCGATATGCGGACCTTGTTTACTCGCTTGCACTAGAAGATTAATCCTTGGTGACGAATTACTACAGAGAGGTGGTCACGTAGTTCATGAAGCTGAAGTATTGGGATGTGACGAGCCAGCGTGCCCTTATTACAAAAAGAACGCGAGATATCTCATGGTACCAGCAACAAGAAGACAAACTTACACTTCACCCACACGTCATCATCGTCTTTAATAGCTTATATTCCTAGACACTTTAATAGTTTAATAAAATATATTTTTATTATGATGAATAATATTTTCTTAATTTGGGTTTACCTTACATTTCAAGGCATAATAAAACAAATTATAAAGATGGGATTGTTTATTTTTGCCTAAAAATTTAATATGTATAAGGTTATAACAATGACTCAATCTAGTGGATGGTAACCTATTTCTTCATTATCGATATGAATGTTAGGATCCCGTTTATACTTAGGTTGTCCACAATCATCTGTCCGAACGCATATCATACAATCCCTGGACGGTAGTGATGACGACGTAAATGAAACATCGCCACAAAAACGTGATAAACTAAGTATACGTCGTTTTGCCTGTAAATATTATAATGAAATAAATATTAATTAATAGTAAAGTTATACAAGACTCAGCTGGGTAACATGCCGGGAGTCACTTCGTGGAAGAAACAATTCGCCATCCTATGTGCAGGTCAATTTTGCATAAGTGACCAAGAAAGTATGTTACGTACTTTCCTTTATAAAATGTTACACATTTCCATTACGGTAGAAAGTTTTGTTATGGCAACTCCAAACAAACTAAGTTGCTTCTACATTTTAAATAGGCGCTAGACATTCACAACGATTCATGTGAAGTTAAAATTAGTATTATTTTTTTAAATATTACATTACACATATATATTACTTAACGAGATAGTAATTCCAATCAAGTAGGCTGTAAACTTGTTTGCTATTCCAAATTACAAAATAATGTCTCATTTATTTTTTACGAACTTTGAATGTTTGATAATCTATTTATTTATTTACAAAACAGCTTTTCAGGCATTACAGCTTTTAACAATTCGCATTACAAGGCCTTATACAAATAAACACATATTGTACGAGTATAATTTATTTAAATTAATTAACACCAGAGATGAACTCGGTTGCCAATTTGCCAATCTGTGAGACTTTTCATTAATAAAATGAACATATTGTTAAGAAGACTCTGTTCATCAAGTAGGTGAGGATATTTAGCCATGTTTATTCTACACCTCGATAAAGCAAATAAGTAAAGGAAGTTGCGTTTTTAAAATAAATGTTCATGCGTATACAGGGAGTTTAATGTTTATACGGCAGAATTATCCTTTTGTCTATTAATTAACTGGAATGTAAGTTTTTTTTACGTTGATTTACGCGTTGTTGTCTCTAATGTGTTATGATATGTACAGTGAGTGTAAAAAGTATTCGTACACCTAGGATTGTAATAAAAAAAATACGAATTTGATAGATTTTCCTCTATTTATTTAATTTAAATCAATACTGTTAAATAGTTTAACATTCCCGCACTTTGTTTATGATAATTTTAGTTTTTTTTTTTTTAAATTATACAACATAAAAATATTTTTACGTTAACTATGCAAATAATGACAAACAAAAAGTATTCGTACATTCATTCTTTTTTAAATGAAATTCTGTATAAATCATTTAATCAATCGAATTTTTCATATGCCTACAATGCCAAGGTCATTTTTAATACGTAGGTATAGATATTAGACGTTTTAGTTGCACTCGTGACAAGTATAGACGTGTTTAGTTACAAAAATGGGTCGTAAAGCAAAAAAAACGAGTGAAGAGGAGAGAAAAATAATTATTAATTTGCATAATCAATGCAAATCATTATGTGAAATTGCAAAATTTGTCAATAGACCACGTTCAACCGTACAGATTGTAATTGATCGGTTTTCTATTACAAAAACACTAAAAAACAAACCCAGAGGTGGGCCGTCCATCAAAAATCACGCCTCGATTGGATCGGAAAATTTTAAATTGTGTAAAAAAAAAATCCAAAAATTAGTGCCCCTCGAGTGTTACAAGAAATTAATAATATCAATGATTGCCATATTTCTGTCAGTACCGTTCGGAACGTATTACGTAGTAACGAGTATCATGGAAGAACTGCGCGTAAAAAGTATTGGGTAAATGATATTAATAGAAAATAAAAAAAAGATTAGAATTCGCAAAAAAATATATTAATGAAAAAAATCATTTTTGGCAAACTGTTATTTACTCAGATGAATCGAAATATAATATAAATCGGATGGACATCATATGGTATGGAGAAAACCTAATATGGAATATAAGAAAGAAAATTTATGTCCAACGGTAAAACACGGTGGTGGGTCAGTATTTGTATGGGGTTGCATGAGTGCTTTTGGGGTGGGAAAACTTGCATTTATTGATGGAATTAGGGATCACAAAACGTATATTAATATTTTAAAAGAGAATATATAATTGGATATTTTTACAAGATAATGACCCTAAACATAAAGCATGGAATACTAAAGCATGGATCCTGTTTAACGCTCCAAAATATTAATCACCTGATATTAATATTATAGAGCATGTGTGGGATTATCTCGATAATAAAATTCGAAATCGACCAATTTCAAGTAAAGAAACACTAAAAATTGCGCTTCGCGAAGAATGGGCATTGATACCGTCTTCTTATATTTTCAAACTAGTTTATTCGATGCCGCAGAGACTCCAAGCTATCATCAATGCTAACGGTAGTCCAACAAAGTATTAATATTTTTTTAATATTCATTTACTTACAAATTTTATAAGTGTACGAATACTTTTTGTTTGTCATTATTTGCTTAGTTAACGTAAAAATATTTTTATGTTGTATAATTTTTTTTATTAAAAAACAAAAATTATCATAAATAAAGTGCGGGAATGTTAAAATATTTAATAGTATTGATTTAAATTTGATAAATAAAAGAAAGTCTATCAAATTCGTATTTTTTTTATTACAACCCTAGGTGTACGAATACTTTCTACACTCACTGTATGTGTTAACATAACCGACGTAAAACCGTATTGCTTGTGATACAAACACCTAATGAACTTTCTATGATTTTTTTTATCATTATTATGTATTTTTCTTTACGAGAATTCCATATAATAGCGTTAGTTTCTAATTTGGTACGTAAAACCGCTAAACTAATTGTATAAATTTTTTATTAAATAAAAACTAATTTTATAAAAGTCTTACATTAACAATGTATATATCTCAAAAAGGACTACTATATATTATGTAGGTAAATATATGTACATACGGGGCACACTCCTGCATTTATGCACTTTGGTCCAATAAGAAACAGCAGTATAGTCAGCACTGCGGCCAAAGCGTGCAGCAGTTTCATAGCCATTGTTATAAAACTTATACTCTTTTTATATTAATATAGATCTGCAATTACATTATATTTGTATTTAGTAAAAATATAATTTGATGGTGAATATAGTATTGTGACGTTTCGTATTTTTTTTTTATTTTAATATTGACAAATTAGTTTGTGTAGGTCAAATAACAGCGGTACATGTGGTTTAAAGAGCCCCCCACCACCCCCCATTTTTCTACCATATATCTGTAAAACTATATCATATAGAAAACGTAGTTTTTTTATTGGACGGTAATGAAATGTTAACCCCGCTTGCGCTATCTGTATATACTGGCAAGGCACCAGTGAAGGATGATAAGTGAAGATGAAGCAGGTCAGTTAGCCCATCGTGACAATTTCAACAATAAAACAATCACGATGATTTCCAGGGAGAACTGCGAGGAGGTCGACCTGAGGGTAGCAGCTATTACTAGTACCCTAGGGTTTTGTTAATGGATGATAATGGAATGGTTGCTCCGCTTGCGCTAACGGTATACACTGACGGGGCACCAGTGAGAGATAATAGATGAGGATGAAGCCAGTTGGCCTATTGGGACTAACAATACAATTAATCACAATACAGTGAAATGTTAAGTTCTATTTACGGACGATTTCGGTATGAACGAAAACACGAAATAAAGTTCGAAAATTCAAATTTTATTTCATGGTAGATCCCCAAATTAGTTTCGAAACTAGATGGCGCTATGCAATATGTTTAATAATAAAAAAAGTTATAACGTTTTTCCGCCACATATGTTATCAGATACTTAAGAAATTCGGGTTATTTCCTGTCTGAAATGGCGTCGTAAATTGAAATTCGATACTTATACACCAATATACTTTATGTAAGTAAGTATAAGAACAAGAAAGTCGACAGGTACCCATGTACTAATGTGAACCAATTAATTGAATGGAGTGTTTGCTGAAAGTCGAGTCGAATCTAATGGACGACAGGCATGACACTACCAACGAGCCTAATGTACTCGTTTGGAGGTCAACAAACTAAGTACCTCAAATTAATATACAGGTGAAAACTAAATCATTATCATTTTTTTATGGGAATACTAGCTTTTACCTGCGACTTTGTCTGCGTAACCAGTATAAGCTACTTTTTATCCCAACTAATGAATATATATTCACTAGTTGGGATAAAAAGTAGCTTATATCATTCTCCATCCCATATAGTATGGTATACGTATATACCATATTACATACTGTTTTTTTCTGTAATGGATGATAATAGAATAGTAACCCTGCCTGCGCTATCGGGATATGCTGGCGGGGCACCAATGACAAATGATAGGTGAAGATGAAGCAGGTCAGTTAGCCCATCGTGATGAATTCATCAAAAATTAATCACAATGGGTTCCAAGGGGAACTGCGTAGAGGTCGGCCTGTTAGGGTAGGGTATATTGCTAGTAATAGGTCTGTTACATCTCATTACTAACAATCCCTGTCCCCCCAATTACATACTGATTGGTTTAACTGTTAAGATGCTAAGAACAATGACAAACAAATAAACTTCCTTACACATTTATAATATTAGTAAGGATTCTAAGCATAGGCATATTTACAAGCCAGATAGGCCGTCTCTATCTCAGTAATGTCTAGTGCCCACCTATTTTAGGAAAAGCCTTCGTTGTAAAAACTTAAATACACTAAGTTCAGGTACGTAAACATTTCTTCCAAATTCAGATCGATAAACGACAGAAATGTTTATGTACTAGTAATAGACAGCTAGCTACAGGCGCCTTGTTAGTGAAGGTTCAAATCTTTAGTCGTGTCTCTTTTTTTTTTTCTTTGAATAAACATTCAGAGGGCCTACCATGAAATGTTTTCCGAAATTTCGGATCCGAAACAAAAATTTAATGTTAAAATTACTTGACACATACCGTTTAAAAATATTAAAAATGCTAAAGTATCGTTCCTTTGGACTTTTATGGTAGGATTTATGACAAATAAAATGGTAAACTCCATTTACTGAGTCGATTTTGGTACGAACAAAAACACGAAATTGAGCACGAAAATTCAGAATTTAATTTCATGGTAGACCCCCAGTTTTACTAGTTTCTACCAGTCAAATTGCTTCTATAAAAGTACCTTAATTTAATTTCTACTAATTGAATTTTAATTAGTATATTATCTGATGTAACTGAAACCCTCCGCGAAATATTCTTTGTTAAGTTAATTAAAAAGTTCCCTTAATAAATTAGCCTAATCGACGACAGTGGAAGAATGTAATTTCTACGTAAAATAACGTAGGTAGGTAGATACGGATCCCATACAGTTGTTACAACTGAAGCGCATCGGGGGGAAGGGATTGTTAGTAACGCGGACTACCAGTCCCATGCTAGCAATAAACCCAGTCAAGTCGACTTCCGCGCGGTTCCCCTTGGAAACCATCGTGCTGAATTCCAAATGTATTCATCATGATGGGCTAACTGACCTGCTTTTTCATTCTCACCTATGCTATTATCCCTCACTGGTGCCCCACCAGCGTATACCGTTAGCGCAGGCGGGGTCACCATTCCATTATCATCCATTAAAAAAAAAAAACTGAAGTGCATCAGTGGCTTGGCCAAATATTAATAACTAATTATTTCCAACCAAAATTTAAAATTACATAGATATTATACTTATACTTTATAGCTCGTTTTTTTATATATCGTATTGTCTAAATGACGTATATAGAATCCATTTGATTTGTCTTTAGAATCGATAATCCGGATTTTTGATTATACGGAATACATCCATTGTTTCAAATAAATGGACTATGTGAGAGATGATATGGTCAGAATGCGAGTGGACATGGAAATGACTGCGAATAGAGAAGATTTGAAGAGGATAACATATAATGCCAACCTCTAATAAATAATAGGGATTAGGGTAGAAAGAAATCAAATATCGTAATTCGTCTCTTATCATAATACGGGTGGAGGGGAGGGGGGGAAGGGTGCTAGTAATGCGGATTACCAGCTCCATTGCTAGCAATAAACTTTGTCAAGTCGACCTCCATATGCCCCCCCCCTGCCTCCATACTATTATGCTGAATTCCTGTATTCATCACGATCAATTTCACTATTTTAATAGTGTTTCCACTTTTAAATTAGAATACCGTTGTAGAACACGATGACTATAGATTATACAGATAGAATGCCTCCATAGAAATGCTTCGAAAAACGAGTCAACTTTTTCGTACAATTTTGCGTGATAAATAGTTATGAGTGATTCCTTTATAACTTCTGTATTTTTCTTATAATTTCTGTATCTTTTTAACGCTTAAATACTCATTTTATTTCTTAAATAATACGTCAATATACATTTTATGCGTAAATATATAGAATACTGATAAAAAAAGAGCTAATTTGACAATTAGCTGCCGAAAAGTTGACCCGTTTTCGAAGCTCGACGCTCTATCTATATGATCTAAAATAATGACATAGAATTAAACACTACTTTTCAATTAGGTTGTATCACCACATTCTCCCCGCTTTAATAGACGTGCGCCAGTATATTATGTCACATTTACAAATGTAACCGAATGTGTGGGTGCGTTATTGTCTTTCAACAGTAACTAACAGCATTTAACAAACTAATATATCTCTACATGTTATCAATGTACCTATCTAACTAGAATATCTAGATAGAGTGTGCCTCTAGAAAAGACTTCGATACAGTTAATTTTTTTTTTTTTAAATTGGCGCGTAAATATTAAATTGCACGCTTTTTATTTTAACGTCGTGAAGCTAAAAATTTTATTAATTATCGTCATACGATAGGTATAGAACACACAAATTAAGCCTAGTCTTATTCATTGACTGCAACTATGTTTACGTAACTAAGATAAAAAGTACCTACCTAATATCCTTTATTCTGGGGGGGGGGGAAGGGATTGTTAGCAATGAGATTAAAGAGCCCCATTGCTAGCAATACACCCTATAAGGTCGACCTCCACGCGGTTCCCCCTGGAGACCATAGTGGTTAATTCTTGTCCAATTGGTCACTATGGGCCAGCAGACCTGCCTTCATCCTCACCTATCACCCTTCACTGGTGCCCCGCCAACGTATACCGATAGCGTAGGCGGGGTTGCCATTCTATCTTCACCCATTAAAAAAAATATCCTTCATTCCTTGTCCGTCATAAATATTATGTGTATGCCTTTCATTATTATTCAAATTATTTCAAATTATAAGATACAAAGTTCTCAAGGAAAGAATGAGTACAATGGCGGACTTATCCTTTTTTTATATACAACTTAGAATGGCAAACAAGCTGACGGCTCACCTGATGGAAAGTAGTATCCATCGCCTATAGACATGAGCAGTACTATGGACATAACAGTGTATACTGTCTCACCCATGATACCCCCCATGCGTTGCCATTCCTGAGGACTTAGGTGTTATTCCTCTGCACCCTGTAAATTCACGCCATATCCCACCCTTCAAACCGAAACACAGCCATGCAAATACAACTGCTTCACGGTTGAAACACGAATGGAACAGAGGTATCCAAGCAATCGACTTTTGTTGCAAAGTCTCCCTCTGGTATTCGATAAAAAGAATTTCTTCCAGTCGACCTTTGAGTATCTGATAGAAATTATGAATTGGTGGAGACAAAAAAAATAATAGGTGTTTAAAAAAAAAAAATAAGAAATATACTGGACTACATATTGGTTCTTAAAATAAAGATTTGCCGTTCGAAATTTGAATTTCAAAGATAGGTTTAGAGAAGCGGCGCCTCAGAATTGACCTCAATTTCTTGAAAAATTAATTCACTTTTCATTTGTTTCTATTAAACTGTAGTCTATTTACTATCATTTACCACCCGGAGTTATTTTATAGGAGTGAGTGGTCAACTGATACTAGCAATTAATTTCACTGTAGGTTTGTAATAGATTACGTACGTTCGTTAATTAACCGCACCTTGTATGAATGAAATCTCTTTATTCAACTGTTTTATTGAAATAAGTTTTTTTTAATTTATTTTTTTTATACAACTTACAATGGCAAACAAGCTGACAGCCCACCTGATGGAAAAAGGTAACCGTCGCCTATAGACATGAGCAGTACCATGGAGATAACGGAGTATACTGTTTCGCCCATGATACTCCCCATGCGTTGCCATTCCTGAGGACTCAGATGTTATTCCTCTGTACCCAGTAAATTCACGCCATAT